AGACGTGATGGCCTGTCCGGATCTTGACTTGACAAACTCGTTGTTGATGAAGAGGCCCGTGGGCTGGGTGTATTTTACGCCATTTGGAGCTGTTAGTTGGACAGACGGGGCGCTCATTGTTCCTGCAGAGACGGAGGAATTTTTGACTTGGGAATAGGTGAGGTCAATTGGTTCGAGTTTGATATGTAGGAAATGGTCCGAGGAAGGAGGAGGCGGGGTAAACGTGGTTCATGTGGTCCAGTGTCGAGTCTCTCTTTCCTAGATGGGACCTGGAGATGCTGAGCGACGAGCTGCGTTGGTGCAGTTGACTGTTCATAGAGACTATACGTGCACAATAGAAAAAATGTAAAGGCTCAAGAATTCGAGATAAAAGGACGTATATAAATCCAACGAGAGCTTTATGGCGGCGCAAACCCGGGGTAAACGGGGCCGCGGGCCGCATCGTGAAGCTTGGATCGGCGGCCGACGGAGCCGAAATCCGGAGGTCGAGCCAGTTCCGAAGCACTGCAAACAAAAAATCAAAAATCAAACATGGCCGGGGATGGTTCACGAAAAAAATCCTTCAGCATTTGCGCGTAAATGGATGCAGATGCGTCTCCATCCCATGAACCACTGTTGCAGCCATGGGAAGCCTACGACGATACGAAGAGCCACGTGACTATCCATCTTGTCCGGTACTCTTTCAAGCCACTCGGTACAACCCCCGTGGCCACGTCCGAGATGTGGGAATGGCGCGAAGCAGCCGTGTGGCAGATCTGTGAGGGCTTGCTTGCCTGAAGATGCCCAAGACCGTAATTGCCGGAACACGGACGACACCAGGGCAAACAAGGAGGGCGTTATGCAAGTCGTCGGTCTCACCGCAACCTCACGCGCCCACTCATCATGAGCCATGTTGAGACTCACGTCACCGCCGGCGTTCAATGAGCAACGAGCTGCAGAGCACGGCGGGAGCAGTGAGCCCAAAGGAGCAGAAGGTTGCGACAACCATAACGCGAGAACCCTGCCTGGTTGGCGACATCCCGGCCGGCGCAACATCAACTGCGAGCCCCATCAAGCAAAGCCTTCTTTTGCCCGTCTTGGCGGACTTGCTTGGTAACATTTGAACTCGTCCGCTTGAAGCTAAATTAGGCGGCTTACACAATCAGCCCTGCGGACTTGGCGGGTTCGTCAGGGCGCCGTCGAATCGAAAAAGTCTCAGGCCGGGGATGCACCCGGGCAGGCTGCATGCGGCTGGCCACTCATGATTGTCATGGACTCGCAAAATGTCCACGTACAACGTAATGGTGTGTATCCACCGCACCGACACATCATCCCGTTATGGCTCATAAGCACCGGTTGTTGTATGGTTAGGCTATCCAAATTCTGTCTCGTTGTTATGACCTCGCCGCGACAATATGCACCGCTGGGCCTCGGGGTCTTGGATGGGTCGTAAACTCCGCATGGCTAACCGCATCATCTCTGCGCGTCTATTTGTATGATTATCAGTGAGCCGTGGTATGGTGGTAGGTGTTATGGTCCAGGTAGGGCGGAGGAACTGGATGTACTTTGAGTTGTCGGTTCATCGTCGTCGGTCTTTTGCCTATATGTATGTCTGGGGTCACCCTGTCAACTCCCTTTAATATTTCACTTGCATCATCGACGACTTGGTAGAATCGGGGACCTTCTTCTATGAAAACACACGTACACACATATATACATATACGTATATTCCAACCATTTGAATCCCTTGTTGCCAATTTTCTACAACACTGATAACCACCTCGACGGCTCACACTCACTGTTCAGTCTCTGCTCCCACGGCGCATTTCGCCTTTCAGCATAGAACATAGCACGACACAAAATGTTGCCCAGAATGGCCAGCGCTACGGGCCTGGCGGCTCCCAAGGACTCGGATCGAACCATTTCTTCAGCGTCGACCATCGCCGGGGACCAAGTGTCGGAAAAGGCCGATTACTTGAGTGACGGCGAGAACGAAAGGCGTAATAATGATATGCAAGAGAAACATGACCATGTGTCGTCCAACGTGGCTGACCATGTGCCTGACGATGCCGAATATCCCTCTGGTATTAAAATGGTCTTCATCGTTGTTGCTCTCGTCATGAGTGTCTTCCTTCTGTCTCTCGATATGGTAAGCCGTGCTCTTAGCTGCTCCTTGTCGAAACACCACTGACACGTTTCCATACAGACCATTGTTGCTACCGCCATTCCTAAAATAACCGACGAGTTCAAGGGTCTTGATAAAGTAGGCTGGTATGGTGCTGCCTTTTTCATGACGGTTGGTTCTATGCAGTCAACATGTACGTTCTGGTCACCTGTCCCTCCTTCATCATAGTCGCAGACGTTGCTAAGTCCATCGTGAATAGGGGGCAAGGTTTACAAGTACTTCCCACTAAAGACATCCTTCCTCGTCGCCATCTTCATATTCGAACTCGGATCCGTCATTTGCGGTGCTGCCCCCAGCGCAGAGGCCCTCATTACTGGACGCGCGATTGCTGGTGTCGGCGCCGCTGGTCTCGGGGCTGGCGCCTATACCATCATCGCCTTTTCTGCTCCTCCCAAGCAGCGGCCTGCCTTTACCGGCATCCTCGGTGCTTCGTATGGATTCGCTAGTGTCATTGGTCCCCTTCTCGGCGGCGCATTTACTGACAACGTCAGCTGGCGATGGTGTTTCTACATCAACCTCCCCATCGGAGGTCTCTCCGCTCTGGTCATCTTGGTCTTCTTCCAGACGCCCAAGAGTGCTGTCCCCGTCAAGGCCACTCTCTTGGAAAAGCTGCTGCAGATGGACCCTCTCGGCATTGTCTTGATGATGGGTGCCACCGTCACCTACATCCTTGCTGTGCAGTATGGCGGCGTTGCCCACGCCTGGGACTCGTCTGTTGTCATTGGCCTCCTCGTTGGCTTTGTCGCCATCACGGCGGCTTGGGCTGCCCTTCAGTACTTCCAGGGCGAGCGGTCCATGGTTCCTCCTAGACTCGCCAGGGAACGCACCAACTGGGTCATGAGCGCCTTTGCCTTCATCTTTGCCGGCGGCTTCTTCGCCGCCATCTACTACATCCCCATCTACTTCCAGTCCGTCCACGGAACGAACCCAACCATGAGCGGCGTTCGCAACTTGCCATTCATCGTTGCCGTCACCATCTCTACCATTCTCAGCGGCACCTACGTTTCTGCGACTGGCCGATACCAGCCCATGCTCCTCGGCGGTGGCGCCGTTGCCACCGTCGGAGCCGGTCTCCTGTACATGCTTGACGTCGACTCTTCTACCGGTGCATGGATCGGATACCAGATTGTCGCCGGCCTTGGTTGGGGAACCGCCTTCCAGATTCCCATGATTGCTGTTCAGGGCTCAGTCTCCCCAGAAGATCTTGCCGCGGCCACCGGCATGCTCCTCTGTAAGTGTTTACGACGTCTGTATTTATCGTCCAAGGCGATTGATCCCCCAACAACTAACCAGTGAAATTCTTCTAGTCTTCCAGAGCATTGGAGGTGCCTATCTCGTCTCCGGAAGCCAGTCTGCATTCATCAATCAGATGGTCGGCCACGTTCTCAAGAACGCACCCCAAGTCGACCTGGGAACCCTTGTCCTCACCGGCGCTACTGAGATTCGACACGCATTCCCTGCGGACCAACAGCCTCTTGTCATTGCCGGCTACATGGCTGGTCTTAAAGTTGTTTTTGCCATGTGCATCGCTGCCACTGGAATCGCCACTCTCATCGGCTGTTTCACCCGATGGTCGAAGCTGAAGCAGGCAAGTATGACTGGTGGCGGCATGGCCTAAATAGAACATGCTTCATGATTGCGTCTCCACAAGTAACTTGATACTCGGAATTGATCTGATTTAGAATAGAATACTCTAATGATTGCATTGGGAAGTGGGAATGCGAGGTTTACTGTTGGCGCAGGACGGAATTCCATATTATACTGTCGATAGAATTGATAGATGTAGCAGATTTATGAGCACAATCTCCCACATGTTGATTACACACTCTTATAAATTACCAATAGTCTGAAAGTAACGACAAGTGCTGGGTGGAAAAGGGATCAAAACGCCTGCTCGTGTTGTTCAAACTTCATATAGCCTGCCACCAAGGGTTAGGGTTATAATTATACCCATGGACCCTCACAAAGAGGCCCTTGCTCTCCACGCCTGAAATAGTCCGAGTTCGACACTAGCCACGAATAATACTTGAGTGAATTTTCCAAAGATTTCAATCCCAGGTCCATGATCCACAGTCATAATTTCCTGTTTGCGACGACAGCGGTTCGTACCCCCGTGACCATGACTGGTGTGGCGGATATGTACGTGGCATGTTTTCCACTCCCGACTCTATTCGCTCAACAATCAATTGAAAGTAACATGGTCGTGTAAAACTACCGAGATTATCATGTGTTGGGAGCAAACATGAATACTTTAGGCAGCCAAGTTCCCAACTAAGAACAATACAGTTCAAAGCCATTGCTCATCCTTGCTCTACCCACCATGCATGATGTATGTGCACGGCAGAACAATCAGTATTCACCGCAAACTTTTCATCAATTCATAGATTCAGACTCCCACTCGGGTATAAAACACTATTATTTGGCCCGGAGCACATTTCAGTTTTCCATTTGTTCCATTTCTTAATTTTTTTTTCAAATTTCACATCCCAACACGACGACGTCGCAGCAGCGCTCCCTTGGGTTCACTTCAGGCTGCTGCTGACTCATCCGCCTTTTCTCTCACCTTGGCCCTCATTCTCATTCCCCATCAAAAACTACGGCGTCCCCAAATCTCCGCAGCAGAAACCATCACGAACAGACTCCTTTTCAAGGCCATTGCGGCCCGAAAAATGGAAAATACACTTTTTCCCTCTCTTGTCATTCCCCTCCACCCACGCCGCCTCACACACCGTCCCTTTCCTCCCCCCTCGGCTTTCCCACGGCAATGCAGCGTCTGGTAGCGCCTCGGGTCGGGGCACGTGCTGCCCATGGCCCGCGGTGTGGCCCGTCGCCATACATGTGGTCAAGGGCATTACGGACGGCCGTCGAGACCGTGCCGTCCTCGCCTATACGCGTGCTCCGCGCGGTCGAACAGGTCCGGAGATGGAGGAAACCGCACATGATCAACTATCGCAGCGTGGGGCTCGTCCCTACCATGGGAGCCCTCCACGAGGGCCATCTTGCTTTGATCCGGGCCGCAGCCAGGGAAAACCACCATGTTGTCGTGAGCATTTATGTCAACCCGGCCCAGTTCGGCGTCAAGGAGGACCTGTCGTCCTACCCGGTTACGTGGGAGACCGACACTGCTGCGCTGGCCAAGCTTGATCGCGAGCTGGCCGATGACGGGGCCAATCTCGGGCGCATATCCGCCATCTTTGCGCCGACCACGCCCGAGATGTACCCCTCTGGGTTCCCCGGACAGGCCGTCGACAGCAAGGGGAGCTTCGTTACCATCACGCCCGTGGCCGAGGTTCTCGAGGGTGCCAGCCGGCCTACCTTCTTCAGGGGCGTCGCCACGGTTTGCATGAAGCTCTTCAACATCGTGCAGCCCGAGCGCGTGTATTTTGGGCAGAAGGATGTCCAGCAGACGGTTGTCATCCGGCGCATGGTCAAGGACCTCATGGTGCCCACGGAAGTCGTCGTTTGCCCGACCGAGCGCGAGACTGATGGCCTGGCCATGGCTTCGCGGAACGTCTACCTCGGCACTCGCCGTCGCGAGGTGGCCGTCGTCCTCAATACCGCCCTGCGAGCTGCCGAAAATGCCTACCGCGGAGGACACACTGATCGCGCCACCATCCTTGGCGCTGCGCAGGATGTTTGCGCCATGATGCTCAGGGCGCAGATGGACATGAAGCCGGGTGAACGGGCTCAATTCGAAGTCGATTATATTTCTCTCGCCGACCCGGATTCCTTGCAGGAGGTTGACGCTGTCGATGTGGCAAAGGGTGCTGTTTTGAGCGGCGCGGTGCGAATGTTGCCTGTAGAAGAGCCGTATGAGGGCGAGGATCTGGGCCATTCCGGTGGCCCTCCTGTCAGATTGATTGACAATATTATTCTACCACCCAAATCAGCTTGAGTTCTGTCCTACGGCGCGTGTGCGTCAGCGGCTATAGCGGTTTAGCCGCTGCTATTGTTGTACATTATAAAGAGGGCTACAGTTTTGGTCATGTGCGGGTCGGCTCTTTCTGGCTCGGGGCTTGAATACTTTGCGCGGGGTTCAGCGTCGTCAAGACCAAGTCATGGCATGCAGAAGCGTTGATATTCATGATGGGTATATAGACGTTTTCGGGTTGTACAAACGTACATGTTCATATTTTTACAAATGTGCCCGCTGGTTCAGCTTCTTCTTCCTCCTCCGCACATCCTTCTTGTGCGCCTCCTGTTCCTCGATGCTGAGCCGACTGGGAACTTTGTTCTTCCCCTGCTTCTCGCCGTCCACAGCCTCGGCGAATAGCTTGGCTCCCAACTGGTCGGTCAATCTTAGCACACGCACACTGACCGTGGCCCCGTCGCGTCGGTTCTTGCCTTCTCGTCGTGAACTGGCAATCTTTTCCGTGAAATCCCAAAGTTTACCTGCAGCAACGAGGGCACCGGTTTCGGGGTCTCGCGGCGGCCGCCATTCTGGATCGAGTTGAATCCTAGGCGGGATCTTGGGGTCCTTGGACTTGACTACGTGAATGATTTGATCTTGCTCAAAACGGGTGTATGAGTTCTTGAGGGTCTCCTTGTTCACGGCTTCAAAGTACGACAAATCTCCTTGGTGGTAGAGAGTTTTACCCAACTGTTCAGAGTTAGCGTACATGTATGATAAAAACGCCAGTTCCAGTTATTCACTTACGAGCTGAGCGCTGTTCTGCGCTTTGTTTTGCTCAACCCAAATGTCTCCATTGCTCCCAGGTGGTGGCGATAGGCCCATCAGTGAGACAGCCGCAAGCCAGCTGGCTTCTATGAACGGCCAAATCAAGAAACAATAGAAATCGTAATTCTCGCGGCCTGCCTTGCGTTCTTCCATGGACAGCCCGATCGTGGTGACAGTGCCACTCTCATCACGATCGAGTCGAACAATATGGTCTGCCTCGAGGCCCCGGAGAGTGTTATCCAAGTTTGTGACAAGGCCATCGGATCCGAAAATGAATTCGCCGCGGAACAAGGAGGACAAGAAGAAGACTTGGTCCTTCAGTTCTGCGTATGAGATATCTTGCATAGCAGGTCCACCACCACGCTTGACATGCATGTACATTGCCGCACTAACCAAGGCCTCATAGATGAACAAATGAATGGTCATGTTTCGGTAGAATGACAGTTGGAAGCGGTCAACCGCATAGAAGGTTGGCTCAGCTAGGCCATTGACAACGCCGACAAGGTCCTTGCCAAGCACATCCAAACCACGATGGATGATTTCCGATGTGGGCGCGTTTCCAAAGTGAGCGACACGCCCTCCCTTGGCACGAATTCGGGCAGTGAGCCATTCAACGCGGCGGATCAACTCTTGAAAACCAACTCCACGGCCACGCAGTGTAAGAAGAACTGTGCCAATAAGAGCGGTTGGCATGACGACGGACACGGCATTGATGTCGCCTACCACCTTGTACCCCATGGTCCTCAAAATCTTTTCACGAGCGGCTCTCACGTCAGGGTTGTGGTGGTCGGTGTCTAAGCCAGGAGGAATAGACGGAAGGCGAGATAACTGCTCATCAACAAACTTGCGCAGGCTCCACGGCTCATGAAATCTGACGTCAACTCTACCAAGCTTCAATGAAAGAACAGACGAGCCACCAGAAACGAAATCTGCCAGGTTCTCCTTCTTTTTCGGCACCCCAAGCAACTCAGTAACATAGCCCTCAGTTTCAATGACTTTGTCATACTGAGTACTGACGGGACAAACAATTGCGTCATCAACCCGCCCAGATAGAATGCTGTCAAGAATAAAGCTCAGAATGCCGAATTTCGGCGGCAACAGCTTCCCGGTTCGAGAGCGGCCTCCTTCAATGAAACATTCAAAGTTGTAGCCCTCTTGGAGCAAAGTGTCGATGTAGCTCTGTACCAACGTGGTGTATAAGGCATCGTCACCAAATGATCGCCTGATCCACATGGCACCAGCATGCTGCAGGAAGCTGCCGAGGAGCGGGATGTTGAGATTATCTCCGGCAACGACAATAGGCAATGTTAAGCCGAGGCGATAGCAAATGAGCTGCAGCGAGACGTAATCGACGTGAGATCGGTGGCTGGGTAGGAAGATGATACTCTGTTTCTTCTTGGCAGCAAAATCGGCAACCTTTCGTAGGCGCAAAACTTCCTCGCTGGATACGTGTATTCCTTGGTGATAGGCTCTGGTCAAAAGCTGGGTAGCCATGTAGTAGGCCCCGCGAATAAATGTCTTGCTTTCCATTTTGCAGATCATGTCGTCGGTCATCTTTTCTGCGACTTCCTGGAGCCCATTCTCGAGAGCGTTTCGCCTCTGGGCGCACTTTACTCCAAAGTCTTTGTCTGCTTTGTTTATTAGTCCTTCCTTGACTTCAACGGCGACCCTGTCCTCGGCAAGCTTTGTGATGCGTTCCTGAAGCAGTGGTGCTGACAGAACCATTGACTTCATATTCTCTGAAAAGCCGGAATAAAAGGCCGGTTGTCCGATTACGTTGTTATATGCTCGCCAACCCTGACCCGAAACGTACAGCGAGACTTCTCGGAGGAATCTACAGGACAACCAGTCAGTATGTGCTTCAGCTCATGTTACCGACTCTCTTGGGATATGTAGGTGTCGCGGTACTGTAATGGTTCGGCGCGGAACGAGGCAAATTGGTTCAGCAATGCCTCCTCCTTGCCCTCATGGCCACCCTCCGGTTCAACATAACCACTAGGTTGCAGGGTGATCTCATCACCGAGAATCTGTAGATCGGGAGCAGAGCTGCTGCCAGCTTCGGCAGGCTCGTCGTTGGGCGGCATGTTTCTGCCGGCGATGGAGGGAGCGAGATAGAGACTATGGTGACACGGGCGCCGATGGTTAAAGCGAGCTGCTGAGGATCGTGCTAGTTGGCGTCAGCAATACCATCAAACAGCAGGCTCACCCAGCACGGCATCCCCGACGAATGTTGATACTCTGGACAGCATGGAATGAAGTTAAGAAGCTAATAGCCAAAGGGCGAGCGGCCGGGATAATATTGTGGGGGAAGCTGGCCGATTGCACGATCAGCCGAGGGAATGGCCAACATGTGAAACCATTGGTGGGAGCTTTGAGCCAGAATCCCGACATCTGGACATCGGCCACCAAGTTGGGCGCTGGTGGCCCCGCGTTACAGCAGCCGAGCCGCCTGTGGCTGAGCACTGCTGACCCGTAAACTCAAGAGTCAAGACTGAACCGACTGGTGCGCCACTTGTGGGGCAGACTCGGACCTGACTGTGGAGAAGTTGAAAAAGATCCCAAATGTCAGAGAGGTCACCAGTCTGGAATCTTCTTGCCCGTAAGCCAAATATCTGCATAATCACACCACGCTGCTTCGAAACCCGCCGGGGCTGATATGACGCCTTTACGACATCGCACAATCTCCAACATCTTTCGTCTGTGCATGAGATAATTGTCACGGGCCAGCAAATATGGCGGCAACAAACCCCCAGCAGCTTACGCAGGATCTGCTTGCAAGAGCCCATTCTCCAGATAGCGTCAACCGCATATACAGTGAAAAAATCCAACACCGTTCTCTACATCTTCGGCCATCTTCGCCCTCGCCAGCCGCAGTCAATGCTCGAACCGCGCGAAGAAAGATTCGGGACCAAAAGAAGGCAAGGAGCAAGGCCCGTCCGAAGCCTCTCTCATCTCGAGAACGACGGAAGCTAGGGCTGTACGACATCCCCAAGGACGGCCAGAAATACAGCATATATGAGCCACTCTACGAACTATGGCAAGGCTATGCGAGGGAGGTTTTAGGACGTGATATATTCCGTCGTGGCCCTGAGGCGGCGGCCAAGTTGGCCAGCGCGGAACTTCATGGTGCTCTTACCGAGGTCGTCAGAAGCCGATGTCCAGGACGTGTGGGCTTGAAAGGCATCATTGTTCGCGATCGCAAGTTCGTTATCGAGATAATCACTGAAAAGAAGGGCATCAAAATTATCCCCAAAGAAGGAACGACATTCCGTATTGAAATTAGGCCCGAGACGACCCAAACGGCCACTGATTCCAAACCCTTTGTGTTTGAAGTCTTGGGAGATCAACTAATGCTTCGCTCCGCGGACCGCGCCAACAGAAAATTCAAGCAGCACTTTCTCCCCGATCTTTAAGAACTGATCTTGTGGATACGTCATTTGTTCTTGAAATGGACAACTTTGCACGAAGCCTATGCTGGAGCCCTCCAGAGCAGTTTCAGTATCGCGACCTGTTGTTTTCGTTGCCTCCAGCTCATCAGGCCGGCTTTACTTCATCCACTTTCTACCCATCTGTGCAATATGGATTGAGATTGGCATAACTCTGCTTTAGGTCGATCCTGAGCCAAGTCAAATCCGTCAGACATCCCTCTCGTTTGTCACAGTCAGCGCCCATATCTCAGTCTCATTTTTATCATGCTCATCACACGTAGCATGGTTGCGTTGAAATTGGGAGTAGACGACCCGGGAGTACGTCATTCAAGGATTCACCTTGGCAGGTTTATGTACGACATGCCCTTTCGACTCAATACGTCCAGCATTTTGAACTCTTCCTTGTACTTTCATTGGAAAGTCGTCAACAGAAAGCATCCGCAAAATAGCCAACATAACTTAGAGGGGACAAACAATTTGTTCACAGGCTCCGGATTGAACGATTTGACATATTTTGTTGAATTAAGCCGTCGACCGGCCTGTGCATGTCTTGAAGAACAGCTGCGATTATAAGATCAAAAACTACCAGATCAACGCGCAGCCATCATGTATGTAGCTGTAGAAACTGGCTTCTCCGGTGCAATGACGCTTCCCGAAGGGTCACAAAACGTGGACACGGTGCCTCGTGCTACCCATCCTAAGAATTGTCAATGCCCAAAAAAATATACCCTCGACGTCCCAAGTGCATTTTTGCGTATGCCGGACTTGGGCACACTTACTTTGTCTTTGGCTGATTCATGTTAAGCGTCCAGCAAGGGCCTAGGAAGAAACGGCCCCGGCCACTGGAAGTCACCACAGCCTTATTTCACCAGTAATTATGGACCCTTATTAAAGGCAAATATAGTTAATACTCCGTACAGCAACGTAGATGCAAAAGTGGATTTTCTTCCCGAGTGTCTATGAATTATACTTGCCAAGGTAGCGACCCGGTATCGAAGCTTGAATCTCTAACTCTACGCCCGCGTGAGTCGTTTCAGAACCCAATAAAGGACCTTGCAGGCGCAAACTTTGGAGCACGCGTTCTGCGCCCATATTGTCATACTGCCATATTGCACATGTTCGAGTGTTCTCCACGTTAGGATTCAGCCCTCACGAAGCGGCGCCGGGTAAAGATCGGAGGGGCTTCTTCCGGCTTAGCGTTACATGCCTTCCCAACTCCCAGCCACTCAAAGGACTTGAAGAGCTGATGGTGGACTTGAAAATCCAGCCACTTGTGTTTGGCCCGCCATCCGCCGTCACTTTGGTGACTGTCTGCACACTGGCACACTGGCACACTGGGCGCCGTGGGCTGGCCTGGTGCTGTCTTCCGGCGCCTGCGTCGACGGAATGGAAGGGAAGTGGCACCCGGGGGGCAAGTGGCTGCACCTCGACTTCTCCGTATTGCAATTTTGCCTTTTGCCCAAACCTCAGGTTTTTCCCACCCACTAGCCTCACAGCTCTACTAGCTTTCCGTCAACTTCCACCTCACGCTTTGTATGCCATACACGACTTCATCAGCAGCCCTCTGCGCGTACTTTTGCATTGCTTAATCGCTCCGAAAGCATCCTTTGCATCGACCTCTACTTGTACAATCAAAATTACACCGACACTCACCTACTCGCCCTTTTTGACCTTCTGTCCACCACAAACACGGACGAAAGAAAACCCTTAGTGAGGCGCGACATTCTAGCACAACACACAACACACGACCCGTGGGTGAAGAACAGTATGACATCCAATCTTCCTTCCAGCTTTGCCTCGGCTGCAGCTGGTCAGAATGCGAATCGGGATGCGAGGGGCGGCAGAGGAGATGGAAGGGGAGCTGCTGGAGGTGACTGGTGAGTTCGATATTTGCTCCTATTTGTGCCCTCCACCGCCAGTGTCTGCGCATTTTCCATGCTTGGTGTTTCTGTAATGACCGCATTGCTTGGATTTTCTCTTGGAGACACTTCCCTTGCGGCAATGGCACCAGGTCATTTTTTTTTATTTTTTATTTTTTTTCCGCGGCATACTTTTGAACGCACCGCGCTTCCCAGATCGATGGGCACGTGTGGTCAGTGCGGATACCGCTTGATGCCCAGCTCCTATCCTACTCTATTTCACAATCAACCTGAAGCAACATTCGCCATTAAATTTGCGCAACTATCGCTAACTCTTCTGGCTAGGTCGCGCAGAGACGGCCGATCTGCTAATGGCACCCTCACTCTCCGACGCTCCTCAACGACCCCCATCGGCCAAGCTTCACAATCAGCCCCCTCGACCGACCACGCTGTTCAGCAACCAATCTCAGTTGACACAACCCCAGTGCTGCCCTCAAATTACGACGCCGGACCTGCACGATACACCAAGGATGACCTGTTGGGATTGTATCGGTCGCAAAAGCCAGGTGATGATCCGACACGCCTCTTTATACCTGGATGGGACCCGACGCACGTTAATGGTGGCAATGTCAGGGGCTGGGGAAAGACCAACGACAGTAATGTTCCACAGGAGCCCGGTGCCTGCTGGGACCATGATGGACATACTGCTCCCATGGGCTTGCACGAATTTTCGACAGAGGAAAAGGAGGTAGGTTTTCCGACTGAGGCAATCGCTTGCCTTTTGTGTTGCTTCACATCGGACTAACATCATTCTTTCTGATTCAGGCCTTTTCTACCGAGATCAACTCGCCTCTGAAACCCCCAACGCAAAACAAAGACGGCCATCAGGGAAATGTGAATGGCCGAAAGGCTTCTGTTTCCCAGGGCTCCGGAAACTCGTTCGGGGTCATATCTCCCTCATCCGCTACACGACCGGGAACACGACGACGTGAAACTATTGAATCGAACCCGTTCAGTGGTGCTCTTGTTTCACCAACCGCGGCCAGCAGGTTTTCTCGGGAGGATTCCTCGCCATGGACGCAACGAAGAAGCAATGACTTGCGAGAGTCTGAGCCAGATGACGGCGAAGCCGACGCAGCTGCGCGAGAGTCTACTACTAAGCTGCCTTTTGGGAACTTGATGCGTTCGAATACTGCCGGTAGTGCCGGGATGTCCATGTGGCCTTCTTCGAACCCAACGACCCCTGCGGATGGCGGCTTTGGCAACTTTGCAATGCCGCCCTCATCCACGATTGGCGACAGGAGGGCTGGCGGCGCTGCCCCCGGTGCGAGTGGTAGTCGTTTAGCTCATTTGATTCCCAAGGATACTTCGGATAACAATGTTGCCAAATCTGGCGACACCCAAAACCCCTCATCACAGCACTCCTGGCGAACACGTCCTCGCACTGATACTGACCCATTTGGTGACGACGAATTGTCTGGAAGTGCCGTCCTGGGTGGCGCACAAGACACCAGCTCGGCTGGACACTCCCATGTCAGTCGCGTAGGTGTTCTTGGCACTCCTGTGAAAGGCTCGACAAGCGACTTTGGTATGTCAGGGCTCAATCTTGGACTCCAGCAAGGGCACGATGGACCAGCCAGTCCGTCAGAGACCAATCCTTATCGCAGCCCCCTTGCGGAGCGTCACGAACATGATGAAACGGAAACCGGCGCTGGTGAGCAACCCCTCGCAGCAGGACAAAACGAACCATCAGCCACCTTCGGGTCCATATCCAGGGGATTCGGTGCGCCTAATTTTGAGGGTAGTGACCGCAGTCAGACTTCCAGCGTTGGTGCAAAAGGTTATCCGTTGGGAGGTTTGTCCGGGTGGCCAGCTCCGGCCGGGCCATCTACAGGAACGCCGGACAGAGAACGACCGAGCTTTGGCAATGCATTTGGCAGTTCTTTGTTCAGTCCCGTTGGAGATATGCAGTCACCAGGCCTGTCCAACCTGGGTAACGTATTTGGAGCCCCCGGCGCTGGACTTGGTACAGGAAGCATTGGCCGTGGCAGCAAGCTTGGGTCGCTCTTCCCTACGGCGATGCAGGCCCAAATGCAAGGACATGATCAAGAGCATGGCATGAATGACACATTGCAGGGCCACCCCCTAGGAGCTATTGGCCGAGGCACTTTACCCGGTCCAACACGGGATACTGGAAGCCCTATGCGACCTAACAGAGGCGTCTTCGAAGAACTTTTCCCATCGAGTGACAGTGGCAGATCTCACACGGGTTTTAGTGCGCCTGACAATGTCCAACAGGTTGGGGTCGGAGGATCTCAATCATTCACGCCAGTCACTGGTGGTATACCGTTCGGTGGTGCCCAAGGAAGTGCAGACCCTTCCGGAACTCAAACCAGACAGATGGTCATGCCTGATAGGATGAGGTGGGTGTATCTTGATCCTCAAGGGCACATGCAGGGGCCTTTTACCGGACTAGAAATGAACGATTGGTACAAGGCCAACTTCTTTACTCCTGATCTTCGGGTCAAGAAGATTGAGGACTCGGATTTCGAACCCCTTGGTCAGCTGATACGCCGCATTGGCAATTCACGCGAACCATTTCTGGTACCGCAAATCGGTATTCCACATGGCCCAGCTCCTCAAGGAGGCCCGTTCAACCCAACGACAGGTGGTGGTGTCATCCCGCCACTGAGTGGAGTGTTCCCCAGCTTTGGCAGAACGCTGACGGCGGAGGAGCAGAATAATCTTGAACGAAGAAAGCAGGAGGAACAGTACATGATGGCCCAGCAACGAGAGTATATGATGCGCCAGCAGACCATGCCCAAGTTCCCAATGCCAGGCCCCGGGCTCCAGCATCATTCCAGCGCTCACAGTCTACAAAGCCAGCCAAGCTTCGGCAGCATGACGTCACCCATTGGTGTTGCCCCCCAGCAACAGCCCATCGGAGCTGCCGCTCCGCAGCATGGTTCTTTTCCTGATACTCAAACAGGGGTCCAGGCTGCCGGGAGAGGTGGTTTGGGAAACGGAGACCCTTTTAGAGTAGACGACTTAGTCGGTCTATCTGTGGCCGAGCGTGAGGTTCTTGCAAGTATGCGTGGTGCTAGTGACGAGGCAACGGATGACCAGCAGCAAGCCACAGACACCGGATTTAGGGGAAGCCTTCCTGGTACCGAACAACTTACCGAGGACCAGGAGGGCTTCCGTGGCAGACTGAAGGAATTTGAGGAATTACGTGCACAACATGACGCAGAGCGGCTGACTGAATTGGCAAGCGAGAAAGAGACTAGTTCTGCTGTTGACGCTACCCTCGACACTTCTGCTCCTCAGCATCCTACTCGGGGCGGGAAGGGGAAAAAGAAGATTTCTGAGGATGGCACCTTGTCGCTCACCCAACAGGTGCAGAAGGCACAGGCTGCTGCCGCAGCAAGCGTCCAGCCAGTGGAAGCTGACATGCCAATGCCATTTCCTCCTCCTTCATCCGCTACACCTCTCCCCGCACCGACAGCTCAACGAGCACGATCCAACCTACCTGAGCAATATAGCCGATCCCAAAGCGGTACTCCAGATACGGCTCAACCCCCACCCCTGGCTCCATGGGCAAAGGAGCCAGGCCAAGAGGGGACAAAGGGACCCAGTCTGAAAGAGATACAAGAGGCTGAGGCTCGCAAGGCTGCCAAGGCTGAAGAAGCCGCTGCCGCTCTCCGCAAAGCTGCAATCGAGCAGGAGGCTGCCCTAATGCGAGAAAAAGAAAAGCAGGCCGCTGCTGCCGCTGCCGCGGGTCTTCCTGCTACGAGCACCTGGGGACACGGCTCTCCTGTTTCTGCCTCTAGCCCGTGGACCAAGCCGGGAACTAACAAGGGAACATCTTCTGGACCCGCGACGTCTAGCTCTGCTAGTAGTAAGAAAACATTGGCCGAAATTCAACGTGAGGAGGAGTTTCGCAAACAGAAGGCAAAGGATGTTGCTAGCCAATCCGGGATGCCTGTGAATGTTTCCAAGAGCTATGCCAATCTCGCGGGCAAGCCTAATACTTTGCCTTCTCCATCTATACCCCAGGCCGCAAGCCCATCCATCGCCGGTTGGGCAACCGTTGGCGCCGGCGGTAAGGTCAAGGTACCAAACGGACCAGCTGCCGCCCAAGTTCCACGGTCTCTGAGCTCCTCTAATGTCAAGGCACAAGCTCCGACACCCGGTAGACCTATCAGCAAGCCGGCTTCGACTGTTGGCAGCGTCGCTAGTAAGACTGAGCCGGCCAATGTAGCAATGGAAGAGTTTAACAAATGGACACTGCGAGAGCTTTCCAGAGGAGGTCTCACGTGTGATGGTAAGTCCCAATGCACTGCCAGTGCAAGACTAGCAAACATCGTGCTGGCGAGGTCTTGAACTAACTTTGCTGCCACAGTAACTTCGCTCCAAGCCGACTTGAATATGTTCCCTCTCGACTCGAGCATAATTGCAGATGCCGTCTACGCCAGCTCTACTACCATGGACGGCAATCGCTTCGCTGCTGAATATGTGCGGCGAAAAAAGCTGGCTGAGAAAGGTGTCGTAGAGAAACAGTCACCTGGAGAAGCCGCGAAAACAGCTGCGGCCGGAGGTGGATGGAGTGAAGTTGCAAAGCGAAGTGGAAGCGCCCAGCCTAAAGATACCGACGCCGGAATCCAAGGCGCTGGCTTCAAGGTAGTTCCAAGCCGAAAGAAGGGCAAGAAATAAAGACAATCGCTCTTCCACTTCTTGAAGCAACGTTAAGCATAGGATAAAACCCTTGTTGGACGTAGACACGGACTGTCACATGATTAGCTTGGCTGGAGACAGTAATTTGGGATGAAGGCAACTTTGGTTTGCGAAACTGCTGTTGTTGCATCTGTTTGGAGACAAACTGTTCTGGCTTTAAATGCGTGGTTACGATGATGATGCGGTAGGACACTCAATGTCTAGGTTATGAGAGCGCCGGTTAAGATATGTACAGCGTGTAGGAGCCATTTTGTCCAAATATGGTAGCAATCAGGTAGCCTCAATATGGGCAGAAGCGTTGCCAAACCGACATGGCAAATGTTCACCCCTTGAATTAATACGGTGTCTTATATTGAAGGTACTGGGTGATGCACAACCGTATATGGACTTTTAAAGACACCATTCATCACACCAGCATCAATTTGCCCTCGAGACGCGTCCTTATTTCTCCGTCTTTGATGACCATTCCCCATCCCCTCTTCATCCTTCTGCTTTCACCTCTGGAGGGAGGGCACGTTTATTTCGAAACTTTTAATCCTTCCATCAGAGCTTCCAGCGTATTCCAACCCTCTGATCCTTCCCAGTTCTCCTTTCCGCGGCTCATGACGCTACGAATTGCACTACGCGCTTTTCCTTTCCATTTGCTGCCCACCGTCTCGACGTCGTGTCCCCAGTTCTCCAAAATGGATACAAGCTCATCCGTCCGCTTGACCACCTCTGTCCATCCCTTCAGATCTGCTGTCCAATCTACCGAGTCCGCAGCTACCTCGCCTGGCAAGAGACCGCTGCCAGACGACCCCACGGCTGCTCTCCACGCGCGCTCAGACGCATCAATGGCGCCTGCATAGTCCCTTCTCCATGCACGAAGACGGGACAGAAGAGACCATAGCTCGGCGCGGTGCGTGATGAGTGGCACGATCTCTTCTTCTAGGAGACGAGTGACCAGGCGTTCCATGGATCCTCGCGGTGGCTCGTAGACGCCTGTTCCGGCGGGCTTTTCTTTGGAGAGGACTACATCCTGGAGGAGGGCGGAGAGGACGTCTGTGTCGATGGCGTCTTCCGTCTTGCGGATTCGCAGCATGTGTGTGAAGGCGAGGACCATGTCTGGTACGTCGGGGGGCTGCATTCGAGCAGCGAGCGTGAGGACATTGTCCCAGATTCGCCAGTTGTCGTGGGCAATGGATGCGCCTTTCTTGTAGGCGGCCAGGGACTTGGATAACAGGGTGGCAGGGTCGCGTGACTTGTCTCCTGAGCCCTCTAGGATATCGTCCTCTTCGTCATCTTCGCGAGCAGCGGCTTTGGCTTCATTGTTTGCTGGGACTGTGTCCTTTTTCTCGGCAGTCACTTCGCAGTACAAGCTCCACAAGGCACTTCCCAGATTGCTCCAGGTTCTGGCATCTTCTCCGCCAGCCACGTCATTGGCACTGCCTATTGAGCGGCTGTATGCCTCCGCGGCATCGTCAAATTGTCCCAGGCGAAGGCTAATATCACCAAGGCGACTCCAGAGGTCGGGGCTTAGTCGATTAACAGAGGTGGCTAGTTTGTAGGCCTCGCGAGCCTTTGCCAAATCTTTCTGCGCGAGGTAGTACTCTCCGAGGGACTTTTGGGCCCTAGCGTACCGCTGCTTAGAGATGATCCATGCCTGCTCATAGTGCTTGGGGTTGTTCTCCAGATCTCCCAGTATGCACCAAAGTCTGGCGGCATTGGGCGGTGGAGGGCTTCGTTCGGGGCCTTCGAAACTGGTTGCCTTGAGATGCATGACGTCTTCAACATCCTGGTCATCTGGATCAGATGTTGCAGAAGCATCTTCAGCTGTGGGGTGGAACAGTCTCCAGCGAACAATAGACTTGGCCTTTTCGTCACCACCACTGCCACGTCCGTCCTCGTCCTCAGAGGCGGCAGCGCTGGCATAACACAGGGCAACTTCCGCCCAAAGCCGCAAGCGCTTGAATATTTCGAGGGCGGAGGTAAGAGAGCCAACCCCAGCCCACGCGTATGCAAGCTCTGATTCAAGATGCCATCGGGGTGGCGTAGATAGGGCATCGATGTACCGGAGGCGAACATGAGCGGGGGCCGATTCAGTTGCTTTAGGGGCGGGTAAGAAGGATGTAGGAACTTGAGCCTTGGGTGGTGGAACCGCATTTTCATGGCCAGGGGCGGTGACTTGAATAGTCGGCACGTCGCTCTCATTTTCTGCCCTTTCGTCAGACCCTTGAGCGGGTTCGGTCTCGACATTTGTGTCTGTAAGAACCTGGTCTGCCACAGCTTGCAGTTGCAATACACCACGCTCTACCGTCCTGCTGCGGTGGACTTCAATCCGTGAGCGTACGAGTAGTGCTTGTGTATAAATTTGCCAGTTGGTGGATTTATCGGCGAGAACTCGAACAGCGTAGGGCAGTATTTCCTGTGACGTAAGAGTATCAACGGGTGAGAAGGCATCCTTCAGAGTTGCCTCTGTGAGGAGTATGATTTGATCAAGGGGAGCCAGCTGGGGTTGATTATCCGGGGATATATCTGCCAGGGAAGGCGGTAGTTCCTTCTCCCTTTCTCCATCCTTGTCATGATGGTTTGAAAACTGTATTTCCTCCAAGAGAGTGTCGTCGTTGAGCTTCAGCGCGTCTGGCTTCGCCTCCTCCTCCTCATCACCCCCATCCTCCTCAATAAGATCCTGGTCAGTGCTGCTACGGGCAAGGACAACCAGCTGACTGACACTGTTCTCTTGAAATTTGGTTCGCTTTCCAAGCGCACCGGACAGGGCATACTTCAGTCCTGTAAGCCGAGAGGCTTCTTTGAGAGCACCCTTGGCCTTTTCATGACGTCCAAGGAGGATGTAATTGTTAGCAGCTTCAACGAAGAAGTAGGCCTTGTCTTGGCGGCCCCATGATTCTGCTTCAGACCACACTTCGTTGCCGGCTATTTGGCCACGGACCGTGTCCATGTCGATCAATATTCTGGAAACTAAGCTGGGGACCTCGCTCCATTGAGAGCTCTTGGTGAAATTTGACCCAGGGCCGAGACTAGGTTGGGTAAGAAGTTTGTAATGCCAGGTGTTGATGCGAAGTCTGATCCATGACAGGCTATACTTGACAGGGCGGCTTTCTTTATCTTGGAAATAAAGGTCCGCAGCGGTCAGGGCCTCGCTAGATAGGACCGAGTTGAAAATATATCTAGCAAGAGAGAAGAGCTCAAGGTAAGGTATGTAGCTGTAAGGAGATACGCCATCAACTTCAAGATGCGCCAAGCAGGCTTTATGCAACTGCGTCGGAGCGGCAGACTGGTCTGTATCAGTGGATGACGGCGCAGTCCAAGCCTTGCTGAATCTCGATTGGATCAACGCAAGCTTGTCCGCAGGCACCACAGGCCCGGTTACGTTCGCTTGAAGAAAGATATCAAGAGCAGCCAGGCCCACATGGAGACTCTCCCGAGAGGGAATGGCAGAGATATCGACAGTAGATGGCGAGCCAGGTTGATTTTGCCGTAGCGAACTGGCAACTTCGGCCACATGAGCCTCGATCAAATGAGCTGCTGCTTGGCCCTCTGACAGGATAGAGAGATTCGTGGCGGCATCGTGATGTGAGCATGAGGCTGATACTTTCCAGGCCGCAGGGTCCGGACTATGCGCCGCCATATTTCGCCTTCCCCCCGTCTTCGTCAAAGTTGAAGGTTTCCCGTCAAATCAGAGTGAGGGATGGTTCATGGGAGATTTTGGCGATTGAAGGGTCGAAGTTTGTGCGTGGCAGCAGTTTTCTTGCTGATGAAGTAGCTGATGTGGTGGAGGGGAAGAGTTGGTCAAAGAAATTCGACCTGGTTTGGAGCATCGTCAGTCACATGGAGATTTTTTTAATCGTGGCACCAAAGCATTTAGCTGCTTTCTCTATATTCTTTTGTGAAACAAATAAATTACTTCATTTTCTTCAGTACTATTCTTTTGTACGCGAATAGTTGCTTTTCCTCGTCTAGGTGCTTTCCGTCCTGCTCAAGTGAAGCCAGACATTTTTTGCCATGAGCCATGGTGGGGGCGGGGCACAAATTTTTGAAATCTTCACTTGCCCCTCCATGTATTCAAGCAGTCTCGACCCCTCGCAAACCTACCTCGCAAACGTGGCCGTCCGTAACAGATTGATGCATCTAGACCGACCAAAACCGAGCAAGATACGGTGACGTTCCGTGGCGACACATCAACGTTCGCACGGTAGCAAATGGATTCGATACAAGGTAAAGCTGTCTATAGACTGACACTGCCGCCTGTCCACCGCCGGCCAATATGCAACAGACCAGTTGACATTAGTCGCATTTAATCGATTCTTATAGCATCGGCCTCCAATGTACTGTACACAGCCTCGCTTTTGAAGAAATGAGGCAAAAACAGACCAAGCGTCTCAAGATGTTGCATCCACAACGATCCCTGGTGTGCCGTCCTCACCTCTTAAAAGACAACCACGGCCAATAGAAGAACAAAACGCATTGCACGGACCGAAAAAAAAAGGAAAGAAAGAAAATAAATTAAATTAAAGACAAAAGACCGCTCTCGGGCAACTTTATTGGACAAGGCTGACCGTGATGACGGGTCCTGCATCCACAGCTAGAGTCTGGTCCGTCCCGCATCAGAACCGTATCGCCCACAAAATGACTCGGCCCACACAGCTCGGTTTAATATGCTTGCCATGACCCATGGGGAGGGAGACGCAGGGAACGGAAATACTTCTTGGCTAGAGCGTTGAAAAATTTTATCCCAAAAATTGCCTCCCGTTTCAATTCCATTAATTAGTGTGCCTGGGCCCATAATGTTTTCATGAGATGGCCTCATGGGTTCATGGGCTGACCATTCATTTGCCATATTGCCATTCCACCGAAACACCATCATGTCTGACCGCCCAAACATCAACATCCGTCATAAATTGGGCGTAACGTAAGGGTCCAAGAATAGAACCACTGCCATTTCGTTTTATCTGTAACTTATTAATTCCTGTTCTGGTCTCTTGTGGCTTCTTCGTTTACCAACTTAGAATGTCTCTGAAGACAAACGGGCGTGGGATGGCCTGGTTTCGTCCGAGTCAAATTGCCTCTCATCAATCCTTGCGGCTTGTATCCGCCCGTGCGAAACTCTGTGGCAAAGTTAGTTATTTCCTCTGGTGATGCCGAGATGGGCACTTTTTCAGAGACTACACTCCGCACATAACCACCAGTTACTCGCGCGTACTCCGTACTGTCCATGTCTATTTCGACGCCGTGCCTCCCCGAGAACGCTCAAGCAGTCAAGATGATGCGAGAATTTCAGCCATTGGTGGCAATTTTTAAGCCCAAAACTTTAACATCAGAATAGCGTCGAGTAAGGACCAAGTTGTGATCCTATGCTAGCCCTGCCACGCAAGGTATGTCAACGCCTCCAAACACCTGCGTGCAGCGCCGTCGATGTATTTCAGATCCCTCAATTCAGCGGTCTCCCATGCAGATTTGCATTCCGTCCACGTGTACCGAGTCTGGGGAGCACGCATTGGGTACGGAGCGGACGGCTAACGTTGGAATATTCCCATCAGGAATGGGATTTACCCTCAAGCGTATTTTCAAATCCTCGCCTTGTTCTAAACATAAATACATAGCTTATGAGCTATTTGTATATTGCAGTGAGGGCCGTGACACCGCTGGCTGCTAACGGATCACGTTCAGCCAGGCGTGCTGCCAAAACACAACAGTTTACAAACAAACGGTCTGTCCAATCATACAAGCGCCCGCCAACCTCCATCAGGGCTAGGGTTGAAACCAATGGTTTGCCGGCTCAAGACATTCTAAATGCTCTCTGTACAAGTTTTCGGGGTTGGAGCCTGTGTCGATTCCGCTCAAGCTGTTCATATCGGACGAGTCCCTTTGCCGCAGCGAGAGTGTTGCTACCGGCCCGGCCGTTGAGTCGTGGGAAATGGAGCACGGAGTCGGACTCGTGGTGGGAATCGGATGAGTACCTATAGGTACGTATTAGCTTGGGGGAGACGCAACCTGGTTTGCCCGCGGGCAGCCGTGCGTGCATTCATGGCCTCGAGTCCGGCGCCTCACGGGGGGCTCCGCAATGGCGCTACAAAGGCTGCAAAACACCAGCCTGGGCTTGGCATCCACAACTCACCAGGTTCACTTTCTTCTGCCTAGCAGCAATGACAACAAGTGGACATCCAACCAGTAAGTAGTACGGAGTAGTATAAATGCAAGAATGGCGGCGTGGGTCGACAGCAGCCATTCTTCGTCGATTGCCCCGAGCCTTCAGCAAGGCTGTTTCCACTCCGTCTATAGGGATTCAGCAACCTGGTGTGCTTCATGTGAGATCATACGAGCCACCATAGTGCGATAGGACAGCAAAATCCGTCGCTTCAATCGATTCTAGAGAGAATGGATATCAATTAGCCGGGACCTTAAGTGCCATGACATATATGGCGACAGGTTTTGGATTGATGGGTTCTTCTTGGTCGGAATCCCACATCCCTCTCTCATGGGTCGCCGCGTTGCAGCCGGAGACATTGGGGTGTTGCATTACACACGCCCGCTGCGAGTTACAGTCGAGTCGTCGACAGTCTGACGCACCTTGGCACTAGATACATCCGAAGAAGGGTCATGAATTGGCTGACTGGTGTCCCGTCCCATCCACGTCACTTGGGAAAGCCAATAATTGCTTGAGGTCGATAACAGGATTTGCGACGCACGCGAGCAAACTTTCCCAAACGTAGATCAAAGAGCAGTCTGATGTGTCTCTCAGGTCCTCGAATGCTATCTAACCTTCGCCTAGGGTTGGCCCAATCACTACACAATGTTCACTGCGCTCTATGAGCAGGGGGTTCGTTCCAGTCCTTTTGGCTGCATGCAAATTGACCCCTGCAACGGGGGATTCTTACAGTGCGAACAATTATCCTTGTTGTACTCCGCAGCTGTTTGAAGCTTGTCGCCAAGACCCGCGTATCTTCTGACGTCATGGTGCAGAGCGTCAGGTGGACACCGGACTGCAGTGCTGACAACGGAGCCGCTTTTGTGGCCGTCGGTCAAATGGTCAGATACTGTGGCTGCTGGCGGAAGCCCATTCCGTTTCGCTCCAGTTCAAAAATTAGTGTCTGAACAATCCATTGACACCAGCTATTGTACAAAAGTCGGCTGTTCAAGTGGTTGCTCGTTGGGCCGCTAGCACGGACTGCGACATTTATTGAGCGATAGTCCTGACATTTCCAGAGTTATTGAAAGACCAAATACTCCGTACCGGGGTGCACCATTAAACGACATCGACAACCCAATAACATCCATGGGCAGCCTCGCAACACTTCAGTTCGCCCGAATATTTACTTGGCGCTTGCTGTTTCGGCGTCCTCACCATCCTCCACCGCTTACGGAGTACTCCGTAACCCTTCACCCTCAGCCCTCCAGGCCTTGGGTGGTATTGCAATTAACCTCGGCCGTACGTGTCTCGATGCGGCTCCGTTTTGCAGATCGCCAAACATTACTCGGTGTCACCGTTTCGTTTATCAGCAACAAATACTAGCGGCATGGACACTTTGCTATATTGACCCATTCGCGGAGAACACTTTCTCGCACCGTTTATTGCGCATGATGAAGAAGGTAGTAATAACTACGTACCCCTGTCCATTAATTACGTCGTTGGAAGGATGCCATCACAGCCCTCACGAAACAAGTTCCTCTTGTCGACGAGGGTTCGGTACTAACTGTTGAGATTACAGGGTTAGCGGTTGGGCATAATGTAATAGGGTCCTTACCAATTTCTGACCCAAAGACTGTACGAATTATTAATGTTCCAAACGACTCATTACCCGAACCAGCCCAAGCATTGGAGCCACTAGAGCCACAGGCGACCTGGCGTATGCATCTATACGGAGTCCTACAGTCCTGTGATGGTATTCAGAATAAACTAAAGGGTTCTGGGGACCTTTCAGGGTCCACGTGGGGGAAAACACCCGGATATGTCCACCGCAGCGCGAAGCATCAGCTATGGTGAAGCATAAGCTACTGGTATTCTACGTCATGACGACAATCCGTCACTAATGAATGAGGCAGCCCTCCAGAGGCCCAGCTTGCAAAGATTGATCTCGAGGCAAACGATGCCAGAGCCCAGAGAGGCAAAGCCGACAGGCCCTGGCTAACCCAGCGGGTGGCTCATCGCCTCTCGGCAGAATGACACCCACAGCCGTTCAGTTGGGTGTCAGCATGGAGGTGGTCACAAATATGATTGGAATCAGTTCTCGGGTATCGCTATGAACCCGATGTAACGCTTCTCTGCAAATGCCAAATTCACCCCATTTCAGTAATGTAGTCTGTTGACGACGAGTAAAATGGACTTCTAAGCAGGATCGCCAGCTTCCTTGCAGGTATGACCTGTGCTCGGATCTCGGCCAGAGGATAAGTCGACATCACACGACACTGACACCCATTCCTGCCAACGTACTCCGTATTACACCAAGATTCAGTCTTGCCCTCTAGTGATGCTGCTGGCGGCCGATGTGAAACCGGACCTATCTTCTTTCTCCAGCTGGGGTTGTGGGAGCGGGTGGGATCTCCCAGCATAGAAAGAAGCCAAATCCTTTTGATAGACAATCCATTTACGGTGCCAAAGGTTGAAAATTTGAGGACGGCTGTAACAATTTTACCGTCTATAGCTATTCCGTCCGATGCATGTATTATTCGAGGGCAAACGAGTCCGCCGTTCAGATCGAACTGGTCGACTGGTCAGATTCAACCAGTCGGCGCTGGTCAGATTGCCTCCGGGCGCCCCTTCCCCAGCTGCCCTGCCTTGTCAGTGGTCACGACCCACGGCCCGCTTTTCCACGTCCGCTAACCTAACCTACCCCCTGCTCCCGGCACGGGGGTTGCAAAAAAGGCCGCACACCTGTGTGTGTGTTTGTGGGTGCGGAGTGTGCGGCCTTTTTTGCAACCCGCGTGCACGGCTACACTTGGTTGCGCCTGCCTTGCTCGCAGGCAAAACCTTGCATGGGGCGCAGGTGGCGGTGTAAGTACCAAGTAGACAGTGCGGCAGAAACAGGCAGGCCCAAAAAACGCCAAGCCTAGTCCGGCCCTGTCGTCGAGTGCAGACGCATGGCGCGACAATGAGTAGTAATACTCCGTTCCACTGCCCTCTTACTAGCGTCTCCAGGTACTTTGGTCTGTCGTAAAGTCCCGTTATTAGTCCAAAGCCTCGATCGAGTCTCAAAGTCTCAACCACGTGCATTAATTATATGTTCGCTGCCTCTTCCCTCTTCCGCGAGCACAAACTACGCTTTTGTCTAGGGTTCCGCTTTAGGACCTACGAATAAAACTCCAAGGATTTCACAAACTGCATCACTTGCAGATCCACATCGTCGTCCACTCCGTCCCAATCCCTCTTTGACGCTCACACTCCTTGACATTGTCGAATGGTACTTGCATTTCGGTAAGGCAACAGAGTCGTTGTCGACTTGTGCGTGTCTAGTTTTTTTGTGACTTACTCGACGTTAGTCTCACTGCCCAGGTTAGTCCCTTCGTATATACATCCTGACCTCCCCCCTCCACACTCAACTCTCTGTTTTTTTGTCTTGTTCCTTCTTTCCTCCAATCCTTCCTCCTACCACTCTAACTTCATTTCCCCCACCCCCTCTCTTCTTTTCTTTTCATTCCTTCTGTCCTCATCCTTACCACACCACACCACGCATATATATCTCTTGATTGAGTAGAACGTGCGGTGTGAATGTTCCAACGTCATCGACTTACACTTACCACATCTGACATCCTTCCGCCACAGCAAAGATCCCTTTCTCGCTAGGAGGTGCGCTCTTTTGGTTCGTTCCCGTGTGAGCTACGCTTTCATTTGCGATTATATGCTGTGAAAAGCTTCTCACTGAGAAGACACCGGAACCGCCAGTTTGGATTTAAACTCGCCCATCATGGCGACTAGCGACGAGGAAAAGGGCTCCAAAATTGAGGTCCCCGGCTCTCCAGAGGTTGGCGACCTCGCTGGCGATAATGCCGATGGTCTGCACCGTAGTCTCAATAACCGCCAAATCCAGCTCGTGGCCATTGGCGGTTCCATTGGTACTGCGCTCTTCGTCAGTATCGGTTCCGGTCTGGCAAAAGGCGGCCCTGGCAGCTTGCTCATTGCCTTCATTCTCTATCCTCTAGTTCTTGCTTGTGTTAACAATTCAGTGGCTGAAATGACTGTTCTCATGCCCGTTTCTGGTGGTTTTATCCGTCTGGCCGGCCACTGGGTTGATGATGCCCTTGGATTCATGACTGGTTGGAACTTCTTCATCTACGAAGCTCTCTTGATTCCCTTTGAAATTACCGCCTTGAACCTCGTCTTGTCATTTTGGAACGAAGAAGTCACAAAACCGGGACCTACTGCTGGCATCTGCATTGCCGTTATTATTTGCTATGCGTAAGATATGTGCTCCAACCGGGCGTGGAGAAAACAAAAGAAAATGGCGTCGTTGCATCCCTGCCATAACGGCATGCGCACAATTTCGCTGTATACCCCTTTTTCTCGCCTATCCCCCGGTCCTTCCCCAATCTCTGAGAGGTCATATGCTAAACATTTTTTTCTTATGAATTTTAGTACACTGAATATTCTTGCCGTTCGGGCCTACGGCGAGGCCGAGTTTTGGCTTTCGGGAGGCAAGGTCATTCTCCTCTTTATGCTCTTCATGTTTACATTCGTGACGATGCTTGGCGGTAACCCGTCCCACGACCGCTACGGCTTCCGACACTGGAATAATCCTGGCGCCTTCGCCGAGTATCACACCAAAGGCGCCGTGGGCCGCTTCGAGGGCTTTCTCGGCGCCCTCTGGAGCGCTGGCTTTGCTGTTGTTGGTCCGGAATACGTCTCAATGGTTGCCGCCGAGGCCAAGCGCCCTCGAATCTACATCAAAACCGCATTTAAGACGATATACTGGCGTTTTGGCCTCTTCTTCCTCGGAAGTGCCTTGTGTGTTGGCATTGTGGTGCCCTGGAATGATCCAACGCTCCAAGCCGTTATGAAAGGCGAGGCAGATGGCTCCAGTGCCGCTGCCTCGCCATATGTTATTGCTATGAAGAATATGGGAATTGACGTTCTGCCCCACATTGTGAACGCCCTCATGTTCACGTCTATCTTCTCAGCCGGAAACACTTACACTTATTGCGCGACTCGATCTCTTTACGGCCTGGCTCTGGAAGGTCGTGCGCCGGCCTTCCTACGAAAGTGCTGGAGCAACGGTGTCCCAATCTACTGCTTCTGCGTGGTCATGTGCTTCCCTTTTCTCTCCTTCCTTCAGGTCGGCAACGGTTCAAGGAAGGTTGTCGGATGGCTCGTCGATCTCATCACTGCTGGTGGTATCATCGATTACTTGACCATGTCAGTGACTTTCATTTTCTACTACCGCGCTTGCAAGGCTCAGGGAATTGATCGCAAGACAATGCCATACTACGGGAGGTTTCAGCCATACTGTGCCTATATTGCTCTATTTTTTCAAAGTTTGGTGGTCATCTTCTACGGATACACGGCCTTCACTCCGTGGAGTGTTGAGAGCTTCTTCAGAAACTACACCATGCAAATTCTGGCTCCCATTCTCTTCTTTGGTTGGAAGTTCTACAAGCGAACCAGCTTCGTCAAGCCGCATGAGGCTGACTTGGTGTGGGAGCGGCCGACTATTGACCGCTACGAGGCCAGTTTTCTGCACGAGCCTGTTGGCTTCTGGAGCGAAATGGGTCGTCTAGTTGGCATCAACAGAAAGAACAAAGCACACCAAAGGGATGAATAGGTCTTATTCTCTCATCGTGGGTTGCGTGCTTTGAGCTTCATTTGATGACATGGTTCGAAGACTTTTGTTGCACATAGAATTTGTCCCATGACAATGTTGATTTTGCTATGGCTTGTATGAGATGTTGTGATGTTTGCCAAGGGCGCACCTTGTCGCAAGTTTAGATTACGGCTGATAGAACTGACTGCTTTCCAGGCGCTATTGTTTGTGGGGGCTTTGGGAAGTGCATATGATATACCCCGAGAAGTTGACGAAATTGAATAATTCATGACTGCAGTGCTTGTGTCGTGTGTCTTGGGATTTTCTCATTACAGTAGTGATTTCCTTGTCAGTTCCATCTGATTCTACTAGTCGTTGACTTAGCAGGGCAGGTCGTCCCTTGGAGTCATGACATACATCACACAATACCCAGTGTCCTCTTCTGGACATGGGTCATCCTCCGCACCTCGCCCTTGTCTTCCCCGGATCCAAACTGCATCTGGTGTGCATTTGTAGACCATCCCCTCCCCGCCTCCCGCTGCTGGCAGGTGCTCCATAACAATGATAAAGACCCCGGAGTACTGCGAAATTCCATCGGTTCCAAGCCTAGCGAACGCTCCGAGGGTATATGCAGGCCCTCCACTTATGTTCGTCAAGATGGGATCGCGTCCAAACGCAGATGGACGATGAGAGGAATGTCGTTGGAACGCAACTACCCCTCACGAACGCGATGCCCATGTGTCATGGTTCTGTTCTTTATGTTGCGACCTCCTACCCAAGATAAACTAAACGCGGGTTTTGGCGTGTAGGCAGCTCACCAAAACGCCAATCGCCGAGCGATGTCCGGATGAAGGGGGAACCGCCAAGATACAAGATCCAATGGGCGCACTTGTCCTAGGGGCCATCATGACAGGGGGCGGAGAATTATCGAGAAACCTTTGTGTCTTTGAGGCCCGTATCTCTTACACATGACGATAATATCCGGGTCGAAATCGTCCTGACTCCTGGGGAGCTACCAAGCTAGTTCGTTCGTGGATGGAGAAGGCGTTGCAACTCGTGCGTGGGACATGTGCACAGTATACAGGGCTTTTGAGCACCTTCTCTGATATCAGGCCGGTGCCATTGGCTCCCCCGGGAGAAAGGGGGGATTAGATGCGATGGCTTTGATAGTCCCCGACGGATAATGGTAGCTCGGTAGGAATACCACTGGTGTTTCCCCCCCTCCGGGCTATCGGGCAAGGGGGTCGTGATTAGCCTACAGGAGTGGGAGAGGTTTTGGAGAGACGGGGTGTTTGGCTGCGAGACGAAGGAGGTTTCTGAGGAAAGCTTGCTGTGTAGATGTCGTGGGCTGTTGCGTCGCTAGGAGGCGCTTTTGGCTTTTCGAAACGGCGACAGCTGCTGCCGGTTATGTTGGAGCGGGAAAATTTTAAGACGGTAGTGGCATAATCACAGTAGAACACCAAAGATATTGCCGAAAGAGTGAAACTTAGATGGGTAATGGAAAAGGACGTTGGGATCGCGAAAGAAAGCATCTATGGTACAGGGTAGGCATACTCTCTTGCAACTTGCACCGCCATGTACACGGACGACGCCTGAGAGGAGACTGATCTTCCTACCAACCACGTGGATTCGTCGTCCCACAGATATGTGACATACTTTTATCACATTAGGCATCGTCGTCATGATACGCTATTGCTGTTTCGATGGTTACTGACAATTCTATTCGGGTCTATCTACCATTTACCATCAATCCTAAGCGCCTTGATTTTCATCTACTATCAACGTGTGTAGGGGTCCTCCAGTCCCTCCATCGCTGCTTCGAGAAATCTGTGTAGGCACATGCTTTGTTTTCATCAAAGTAATAAGGCCATCTCTATTGGTGGCCCGAGCATGCCAATCATATCCCAGGACGCATCGCAACTTTTAAAAACTTTTACCATCCCTCTCATTACCGTACAAAGGAAAATTAGATAAACATGGAGAAAATGTCATGAGAAAGAAGGCGGCGGAACGCTGTCAGATTATTACAGCAACTTTGGGGTATGAACGCGCTTAAATATCGTCCTCGTCGCTGAAAACCTCCTCACCACGCTTGCGGCGGGCCATACGCTCTGTATCAACTGGTTAGCATCAACTGTCTCTGGTGGAAAGCCCTTGTGCTGGGTACCGGGGAATATATGAAAACTTACCCTTCTTCTTCTTTCGCAGCTCAGAAGAGGTCAACTTGGCCTTCTTCTTGGTGCTGACAATCTTGTTGCCCATGGCGTCGAACTTGTCCTCCTCGTCGTCATCATCCTGCTTGAGACGGGGACCACTGCCCTGGCCGGCAACCCAGTTGTGGCCGGAAGGAGTCATCTTGCCGTCCATGACAGCCCAGACTTCCTCAGTCAAATCCTTGGTGAACTCAGCAGAGTGAGTGATGATGATGACACCACCCTCGAACTTCTTCAGGGCCTTGGACAAGGCACCGAGAGAGTCACGATCAAGATAGTTGGTGGGCTCGTCAAGGACGATCAAGTGAGGTCGCTGCCATGAGCAGGCGGCAAGGACGGTCTTGACACGCTGACCACCAGACAGACCCCGCATACGGGAGTGTGAAACAAGTTCGGCATCGAGACCAAAGTTGGCGCAGTGAGCCTCGATCTCCTTTCGGACCAGGGGGCGGAACTGACCAGAGGCAAGAGCCTCCTTCATATCGACATCAGCCACCATCTTCTGGTGAGAAGCCAGAAGCTCGTTACGAGGCAACCAGACATTATCGGCAGACATCATGGGAGTCCAGCGCTCATTCTTCATGCCCACGTTCTCACCAAGGGCGCATGAACACTCATACTCATAGCTGTTCTTGAACTTTCTTCGGGAGTTGATGCCAATGATGCGGCGCTGGGTACCCTCAATTCTAAAGATCTTGTCCATGGCCTTCTCGTCGTCCTCGGTAATGATCTTGTTGGCACGGTCCATAGTCTCACGATCCTCACCAGTCTGGAAACGCCACTGAATGTACTCAGAAGGAGTGCTGTCCAGATGGTTATCAATATGGGCGAAAGCGTGCTGCTTGATGTAGGCAATACGAATGTTCTCGTGCTGGTAGATCTCACCCTGAGTGGGGATCAGCTCACCAGTCAGGACGTTGATAAGAGTAGACTTGCCAGCACCGTTGGGACCGATGACAGCAATACGGGAGCCCAGAGAGCACTGGAAAGTGATGTCGCTGATCTGGGGCTTGGAGGTACCAGGGTACTGGAAGGACATCTTGGAGGCGCGCAGAATGGCCTTGGCCTTGGTCTTGACACCCTCGAGGAAACCGGGCTCAGGGAAGGTAAACTCCATCTCAGAGGCACCCAACTCGTAGTAAGACTTTGCAGAGGGGACTCTCTTGACGAACTCGGCCAGGTTACCACGGTAGCGCTTAAGCTTGAAGCGCTCGTAATGAATGATGTGCTGGCAGACGTTGTCGAGGAAGCCGGAGTCGTGAGAAACGATGATAGAGGTGCAAGGGGAGTTGGTGAGGTAGTCCTCGAGCCACTTGACATTCTTGACATCCAGGTGGTTGGTAGGCTCATCGAGCAGCAGAATATCGGGAGCCTCGAAGACAGCACGGCACAGGGCGAGCTTCATCTTCCAACCACCGGAGAGAGCGGTAATTTCGCCGGAAATCATAGCAGGGGTGAAGCCGAATTCAATAAGCTGCTTCTCGACATCAGGCTGAGTGACATCGACCTTGGCCTCGCCAAGCTTCTTCATGGTCCAATCAATGGTGGTCATCTCAGTATCGGCGGAGTCCAGGTCGTGCTCCACGAAGACAGTCTTGACTTCGCTCTGCTTGGGGAAGCCCTCAACCTGCTCGTTGTTGATGGCACGCATAAGAGTAGACTTTCCGGAACCGTTGGGGCCGCAAAGACCGTAGCGCTGGCCACGCTTAAGACGAAGGTGGGTCTGGTTGAGAAGAATCTTGGCACCGTAGGCCAGGGAGAAGGTGCAGTTGCAAAGGTCCTCACCCTCCTCCTCATCGGCCTCAACGGCCTCCTCCTCAGCAGCACCGGGGGAGGCACGCTTGCGGAGTGTGTCGACGACAGCCTCAGCGTTGTCAATGCCGGTGATGACAGAGACATAAGCCTTGAGGTTCTCAGCCCACACAGCACTCTCACTTTCCTTCTCGTCAATGAGCTGACCAGCCATAGCAGCAATGTACTCGGCAACGGGGCCCATCTTCTCGAGGTAGGTGGCATATTTGGATGAGAGAATGTCCTTGAGCTTGCCGAGGACGACGTTGATGTCACCATCGTTGCGGGCCTCGGGGATCTTGCCGTCAACGACATTACCAACACGAGTGAGGGTGTCCAAGGCCTGCTTGGTCTTCTCACGGGCCTCGGGGTCAGCCAAGTTGTCGTAGTTCTTCTGGAGGCCTGGCATCATCTTGGGCAAGAAAGGAGCGACAATGTTGGGGTCGTCGACGAGCTTGCACATGTTGTCAACAATGACGGCAGACTTTCGCTTGATGGCAGTCTCACGCTCAGCAAGGCCACGATCCAGAAGAGGGACCATGAGAGCAAGAGTGGGCTCCTGGACCTCGGTGACAAAAGTAGTGGCACCAAGCAAGTGAACAGTCTCGGGGACGTTCTCGGGCTTGGCAATGCACTTGATAAGCTCGGGAATGAAGCGCTCAATATCTCTGTTGACAATGAGCTGGCAGATCTGCTCCATGGTCTTGTAGGCACGCTCCTTGACCTCCTTCTTGGTGTCCCACATGGCCTCGGAAACCACGGGGATCAAATCAGGGACACGGAAAGCAAGCTGAGCAGGAGCAGTCTTGATCAGGGCATCGATGAAGTCCAGAGCAGCCATCTTCTCAGGCCATTTCTGAGCATTGCGGATGGACTCCATGATGGCAGGGAGGACAGCCTTGCAGGCATTGCCGTTGATGGCGCCAGCAATGGCCAGGACGGCAGCGGTGGCAGCGTTCTTAACAGCGGTAATTTTGTCACCAACGGCAGCCAAGACACTGGGTAGGAGGACCACCA